GACCGAATCGCCAACACTTGACCAACGAAGGCAACAAACAACCACCCTTCAATCTCCTATAAGGCACAACCAACCACCACCAGTGGGAGTAGTGACTCCCACTATACAGACAACCCGTCCTACACCAACGCACACATTACGTTCCACTAATAGGAAGCGCACCTTCCAAGAGACAGTGGCTGAATCTGCCAAAGTCCAAGTAGAAGCCGCTAAAGTGCAGGCTGAGGCTGCAAAAAAAATGGCAGAGGCATCAATGCTGCAGGTGGATGTCACAAACAAATTAACTGCTGCAGTGGAACGCCAATCTGAAATTTTTGAAAAATTTTTGGAGTACTTCCAGAATTAATTTTCATACCACTATTGTGAGAGTATTGAAGTGATATTTTGTTTTTTTTTTTGTGTACATATTTTTTAGATTTAAGTGTGAATTGATATTTTGTTGGATTTACTTAGTTTATATGTAGATTTAGGATTTAAGACTGAAAAGATATTTTGTTGAATTTTTATGTAAATATTTTATTAATTTTAAGACAAATGAATTTTGCTGGTGTACCTGAAATCTACACACACATACTTTATAATAAAACTGCGTTTATAACAAACTCTCTGCTATTCTCATTCTAATAAGGGCAGCTGTATTCGAAATGTTACTGTTTTCCAGTTCTTCTTCGTAACTAACAAGATTCTCCATATCTGGGCTCTCCAATGGAATTTGATGTTTGAAAAATATACAAACGTTATGAATAGCACAGCACACATTTACAATTTGTGTAACTTTTTCTGGTGAATAGTGTAGCCCTCTCGAGCCAATTATACATCGAAATCGGTTTTTCAAAACACCGAAACATCTCTCAATTACATTACGAGCTTTCGAGTGCTTTGTGTTGTAAGTTCGTTGAATTTCATCGGCTGCGCTTCTGAATGGCGTCATCAAGTATGGCTGCAAGGGAATCACCTACAAAAATTTTAATAATATGTTTTATAGCCTTTTTCCCAGCAAACATTTGGAATCGTAAATGAGTCTTTAAGGAGTCCCATTTCGGAGCCTTTGTGCTCATAATGAGCTCATTTAAGAGTCCGAAATGAGGGTGTTTCCCTTCCTGCGAAGGTCGACCTATATGAGCTTAAATTCATACATCAAATGAGCCTCAATATGAGTCATATTAGACTCTTATTGGCCTCATATACGGCTCATTTTGGACTCTTTTTGAAGCTCTTAAATGACTCTTATTGGCCTCATAAATGCCTACTTTCGGAGTGTCATTGTATGCTGTTATGTGACTTTTATTGGCTTTATTCTTCAACTCTCTTAATGAACTTACTTTAGAGCCATGTTAGCAAGGAATTCATTTCAAATACTGTTGCATATTTATATACAAACCTCTGCGCATACATATACATGTACATATATTGCAGCATTCATGTAATAGCAGTTGCTGCAGCTAAATTTTGTTTATTTTTCCTCCCTAATTATTTTTCATATCTGTATAAACAAGTTTAGATATAAATTTCTAGTCGTTATTGTTTTTATACTGGCACAAAGTGCTGGCTCATAACTTGGATCATATATGACTCCTAAAAGATTCATATAAGAGTAAAAAAATGTTTGTTTTTGAAACTCATATTTCTTACTTACCTAGGACTCCTTTCCGACTCATATATTCTGAGCGCTCAGAATATGTTTGCGGGGTTAAGTTTTAAAACTTACCGAGTAGCCATGTGTTGGTTTTTCCATTGTTATAATCAGATTTTAGCTCCTGTTCTGCGTGACTCACATTCCAAACAAATAAATCATGATTCGCCCCTGGATGCCTAGCGTCAACAAATGTGATTACCATGTTGTGATCGCATATCTGTAAGGAAACTCAGTTTGTGTATATGTATACTTGTAAAGATAGTAAATCATTAACCTACCGCCATTACATTAAGACTGTAAAAACCCTTGCGGTTGAGGTATAAATGGTGGTTGTCACTTCCTGGCGACTTAATACGAACGTGTGTTCCATCAACACAACCAATAACCCCAGGTATTCCGTATTTCTCAAAGAAATATTCTTTAACTGCATTTTCCTCATCGATGTTTCTCCTAAAATTCACCCATTTCTGGCAAAAATGGTCCTCAAAAATATTTAGGCATTCCCTGATCACGTTGGCTGCAGTTGACTGCCCCATCGACGAAATATTTTCGTTACCAACAAATTTTTGGTAACTGCGATAGGTGGGTGCTTCTATGTGATGGAGCCATGTGCTCTTTTAATTCGTTTAATATGTATTGGAATATTTCTTTATTGATTCGGAAATTTGCAACAAATCTAGAAACGAATACATTGTAGCATACAAAAATTATTTGCTAATCTTGAACTTACTCAGTCTCAGGTAGTTCCATTACATTGGTGTGGTCTCGCAATCTCCTCCTCTGTATTCGCCTTTCCCTTTCTTCGGATTCCTCGGCGTCCATTAGCGCTATAGCAGCATACATTTTTAAAAATTAATTTTCCTTATATTTCTTTCCGCAACACAACCAAAACACTTTTAAGCAAAACCAAAATGTAAACAATTCCGATGTTGCCCATTTAAAATAAAAAGCATTGAAATAAGCTGAAAATATTAGAAATCTAAGAAAAACTCTTTGGAAGTACATCAAAATTTCATCCGGCAACATCATACAACGTAACCGAGACGATTGCAACGTAATCGACGTAAAGACATGACGAAGACGACCGACAGAGTTACAAAATTGCAATCCGTGACGATATCGCCTACAGACGAATCGTTCGTGCAGCCTATCGTTCGAGATACATAATAAGGCTGTATAGCTACGGTGACCAGATTTCTATGGACAAAAATCGGGACATTTCTAAAGCATCGAATCCGAACATACAACTTCGTTTTTAGAATAAAAAAAGACATAACGTCTTTTAATATAGTTTCATTTAAAACAAAACTAACAGAAAAAAACTTGAAAAATTATCGCAAAAATGTATACACACAATATAGACGGTGGCGAAAATGTAAATAGGGAAAAGACATTTTAGCATGTCTTGGCTACTTTTCTTTGATTAAAAAATGTCTATTATTTTTTTATGAAAATTAGGGATGTGCCGTGCCGTAATCCGGATTATCCGCCGTTTTTCTGTTATCCGACTATCTGGCCGGATACTGGCTAAAATCCCGTCAGATTTTCGGATTTCGATTATAGAAGACTGAATTTCAAATCTAGTTCAAACATTTATTTTTATAATCAAAATTTAGTAGTATGTAATTAGTAATTAAAGTTAAAAAGTTTTATAATTTTCATTATGAAAAGAAGTATTTACCTATTTTTATTTCGGGAAGCATACCCGATACACTATACACTCTTCCTGAGTTCACTGAGGAATGTGGTGCACAGAGATACTTCATTGCCAGTGTAAACAAATTTGGAAATTCTTTTCGACTATCCCAGCAAGAACGACCTAACGCATTCTCCAATACACTTACAAAATTGTCATTAAAAAGCAACACATTTGCATATTAGCGATATATATGCCATTCTTTACGTTATATAACACGTTATTAATCGCATAATAATATTTGATTGAAAAGAGACAACTACATATAGTATAATATAATAGCGAATTCCATGTGAAAGAAAGAGAAAACTACTCACACTTGAAACGATTATGCGTTAGATTTCTCCAGGAGCCCTATGTAAAATGATGGAAAGTTTCTGAATTTCTCACACAAACTTTTTGTAGTATTAGGCGTATATAGCGCATTAGTTAACAGATAGGGTTCTTACTGGGATGCTTCCACTAAATTCATGGATGTTCTTGTCTGGGTATAAGGGGTAGCTGTAAATATTTCTCTATTTCTAAATTGATGCCTTTTTTCTTGTATGGTCGCTGACTTGTCTACCCATCATTTTGCTTTCCACAAACATTGGAAGCAATATCAGAACCGTTTCCTCAAGGCGTTGCAAAATATCCTGGTGAGCTCGCTCTTCAACAGAAGCTTTCACTAGAGTTCAGCCTTTTTCATATCGTATTTTTGCAAAACCGCCCATCGACCAGTTGCAAAACCGCATAAATCGCCGTTGTGACAAAAATAAGATTTGGTAACCCTAAACTTCAGGTATCGAGATTTATGCATAAAGATCGTAAAATCGTTATTAAATTGTAAAATAATCGGTAGAGAAAATGCCGCCTATCAAGGCAATGCCTTCAAATAAAATCCGTGTTTTCGCTCTCCTGTAAAATTTGAGTGCCGTAAGATAAGACGGCTTTGCTAACTGATTTATATTTTCAAATTAGTTCATCATCAACCCAGTTTTTAGCTTAATTAATGTCAGAAAGTTTTGAAACGTGGGTCATAAAATATTGCAACAATGAAGCATTACGGGACGATGCGGAAGCAGTGATGCCAGATTGTGGGTAATTTCCCTATTTGAGGGATATTTTACATCAAAAATTATTAAAAGGGAAAAAAGGGACACTTCATATAAATAATGGATTTTCTTTTGACGCAGTTATTGTTGCATAATTGATCAAAATTCAAGAATATTCGACATTCTTACGTAATTAATCGTTCTGAAGATGTGATGTGGAGTGAAATGGTATATAATTGTTAAAAAGTATAAGGACAATTTCGAAAATTTTCTTACGTTAACCAATTCAAGCGCTGAGTAAGAAAGAATCTTTTCAGTTGTAACTGGTGTTTCATGTAAAAAGCGGAACAAATTATCTGATGAAATGTTAAATAGCACATGAATGTGCTTCAATTTTAAAGTCACCAAAAAATTCTTTTAGGCCCTTAGTGAGTGAGCAAAAAAATGAAAGGGAAAAAATGAATGAGTGAAAAAAATGCAGAAAAAGGGTTTTTTTCTTAACAGCGGTCGGCCCTCGACAGGCAACGGCAAACCTCCGAGTGTATTCCTGCCATGAAAAACAGCTTCTCATAAAAATACACTCGCCATTCGGAGTCGGCGTAAAACTGTAGGTCCCTCCCCTTTGTGTGACATCAAGGGGACCGCCACAAATTGGAGGAAAAGCACATATGTGTAAGCGCCAAACTATTATTATTATTTTATATGAATTTTACTTCTTTACTACTGAAACATGTATATGTTTAAATTTGTTGGGAATTTTGTGGGATAAGTTTTCCAGATGTGGGTAATTGAGGGATTTTTTCCCCATTTCCGTGGGATATTTAACAGAGAATGTCTGGCATCACTGTGCGGAAGAGGGACTATATGTAAGCATGTATCATAACTTAACAAATAATTATAAGAACCTTAAAAAAAATTTGTTGGCCCACTGAGCCAAAAGCACAACGGTTTTTTCAACCAAGTTCAGCGTTGCCATTTTAACCGTTTTCCGGCTAGATTTAGCCGGTTTTGATAGCAACTAGCCGGAGAAAATTCGATCTAGCCGGCAGCCGATTTGTTAGCCGGCTTGTAAAAAAAAGTTAGCCGTTTTTAGCCGATTTTACTATTTGCCTAATTTTCAGGTGCAAAAAGTAAACAAGTTGTTCGAAAGCAATAATGCAGACCCAATGAAGATTTTTAATGAACTCAATGTTTTACTTTCGCATCTATGCTCACTAGTGGTTATTAGCGCGGACACATTTGATCCTATATGCTCCCCGTTGGAACCATACCTTGCTCCATTTCCTCAGTTTTATCACAGTTTTGAAGAGTATTTAAAAACAAAAGTAAGCACAAACGCTTTTGACCACGAAGTCGAGAAAATTATTCGAGAAAATGGTCGCTATTTTATTATCACTTTAATAAAGGAATTACGCCAACTCCTTCCTACAAATATTGCCACACTAAAAAAAAATTGACTTTTTTCGGTTGGAAATGCATTAAGAGTAATTAAACCAAAAGTATTTGTTCAACTACAGCAACAAAAACACAAATATAATGCCGACGAAATAACATCCATAGAGATGCAATGGCAACGGTTAACGTTACATATCTGGAGTAATTTAGACTCAACTGTAAAATTTTGGGCCGAAGTTTATCAATTTCGAAATGCCCTAGGACCTGACCTTTGCAACCTAGTTTTTAGTTTTCTTGTTTTGCCTATAAGTAATGCAGAAGTAGAGCGAATATTTAGTTCAATTAATATAATAAAAACTAAGCAAAGAAATCCAATGTGCGTTAAAACGTTAAACGCTATTTTATATATAAGATACGGTTTAAAACGTGAAGAAAAATGCTGCCATAATTTTACTGTAGATGACGATCTCTTAAAATTAATGAATTCAGGTGATATATACAATAGTGATTCATTTGATGATGAGGAATATACACTCGATATAAATTAATGGTGTTAACTAGTCTTTCGTTTCTTGCGATTTATTTAAATAAAGCATGTGGATTTTCACTAAAACATTTTAGCCGTTTTTTGCCAGAGTCTATGTGAAATTTCACTAAAACATTTTAGCCGATTTTAGTCGCTTTTTTTTGCCAATCTAGCCGGTCGGCCCAAAAAGTTCTGGCAACACTGACCAAGTTATGGTTTGGTTTTTTCATGGTTAATAAGCCGATTGTAAGAAATGTGATTCAGTTGCACATTTGAGAACGAATTCGTAGCTGCAGGTGGCTGAGCGTGCAGAAATGCTTGCTGTTATGTGTTTCCTTCCAGCAGTACGATTGCCGTCAGCGCAATACATAATGTTTATTTTTTTTCTGTTGTTGGTTTTTCTTAATTACGAAAAAGGCTCTGTGAAGTGCAGCACCAAATTAGGCGACGAAGAAAATTTATTCAAGTTGAACATTTGCACACATTTATAAAGCGGTTGTAGCTGAATGTGCTGAGATGCTTGCTGTTATTTGCTAACATTCAGAAATCGCCGTTTCAAATATCGTCAGAGGCAAATTTTTTGTTTTATAACATAAGCGTATTCTAACGAAAAAATCGACAACCAAAAGTTTGGTTAATGTAAACAAAAGTGTGCTTAACATTAGAGTACACGCGCGGGCTACTATAGTAGACCACGACAACATTTTTGTTTATACCCTGACAGTTTTGTATGTTAAAGCGGTGCGGTTCCAGGAAAGCCTTCTGCATTAAATTTGTCGACGAGTGAGTACCGCGCTTCACTTCCACGCGTATGCACTTTTTTGTGGATTGGCGCGAAAATCGCGGGCTTACCATAGTAGTCCGCGCGAGTATTGGTGTACTGAATTTATAATTTGGTTACTTAGCATATACGGTGCATCAGTGTTCTTAGAAACTACAGCCGGTAGCCACTTAAAATATTTTTCGATTTGATGAACATTGCTGCAAACGAAGCTCTCATAATACACCAAATGAATGTGAACACTGAAAAAAATTTCAAGGATAAATTTTTACAAGAATAGTCCCTCTATTTTTTGAAACCCGCTTTGAATCGTTGTACATCCATTGAAACACTTCTCTAACAACTAAAATTTGGAATAGGGAAGCTCTTAGTAGCATTTCAAGAAGTACATCACGATGTAATACCAAATTTTAGTTGGTCGGTTCACCTATTGTACCAGTGCTCTACGTCCATCCACAAAAAGTGGTGGAAGACTTTTAACAAATGGATTTGTCCTGATAACCAGCCTGCGGTGGGCACTCAATGTTACGAAAACTGATCGTTTTTTGAACAATATTGGTTTAAGTAGAAAGTTTAAGACATTGATCTAAGAAGTAAAATTATTCAAATTTTTTCTGTTACATAACTAAGTTATTTATT